GCAACACTATAGGATTTGTAAAAATACAACTAAATTAAAGATTCAGGTGGAGTGGAGTAAGGTAAGTTGTCTCTACATATCCTACTTTCCATAACTTAGTCATAAAAACAGTTCATTACTGCAAACTTGATGTGTAACATTAGTCACCTACTCAGTTTTACGGTTACATTTTAACATCAGCACATTAAAGTAGTTCGGTAATGAGAATGAAGAAAAAGAAAACACATACAAGAGCACCGATCTATACTGTAAAACGTGGGAGTCAAACTGCATTTCCGTTTGGATTTGGGGGTAGGGGTGAAACCCTTACCAAGGTGCAGATCGTTTTACGACTAGAAAAATCAATTCCAAATTCAAATTACCGATCACACGCTGGCAATACAGTACCCTATGTAAATAAGATGATTTAATACTATTATACTCTTTAGAAGCTTGTCAAGGGTCTTCCTATATTAAAACCCAGTCAATAGTTTTCGACTTTAAAATGACAAGGGGAATTAACAAAGAGGAAATTGCTGCCTTCCCACTTATTCTTCTCCATTGTCACGCCTGCACGCAGGCGTTAACAGTCATGACTTTACATTTCACTTCGTTCCTGGTGTTCTTCAGCAATCCTGTGTTGTTTCACGGTTCCTAACCATCTTGAGAGTCCATCAAGTATCTTTATTCTTTGTCTTTCTTTGTTTTTTCTCTTTTATTTTATAATGCCGGTTGTTACTACGAGCTCCATCTTTTCTTTCCTCATTACATGGTTTATGAACTCAGCTTGATTCTTACTTGATGATGTTGCACATTGTGTTGACTTGCACCGTTATGTCTTCATTACTTTTCTACTTAGTCCGTGCTTTTGGCAGCATTCTCCTTAAGAACAACATTTCGGCTGCTTCAAATTTACTCTCAACTTTCTTTGTTATATAACTTATAGCATATAATATTTCATACATAATTTTTTTTAATAATAACGATGTTCGTTCTATAGATAGATACGTATACCATTTCAAATTTTGCATATACTAAGGACTTGGATTTCTTGGCCCCAGTTGTCTGTGCAATCTTGAATTTCCGTTCGGCGCGACTTCGAGGTTGCCAAGGGCTTATGAAGATTCTTATTTTCAAATTCACCACAATTAATTCATATATCTTAAAACAGTTAAATTCAAAGTATCAAACGAAGCGAATTTGTGGCAGTGACTACTTGAAATTTATTTTATGAAAAGAAAGTGGAAACCTAAAAAAATGCCGACTTTCCCATAATCCTTAGCAAAGTATGTGTGTGCTCAGGTCACTAGCATGATTTATTTGCTAGCCGATAATCATCTGTGTTCTATTCTCCAATATTGCTATGTTTAGTTAGCTGCACCATCGTGAAGTCAACCGGATATGACGTCACAGAATTCTAGAGGGAACATTCAGTCAATTTGGCTGTGCACACTAAAAGACGCATTCTCAGATCAGGAATAAGGGGTCAAAAAAGTCAAAGGTGAGATAGGCTTATTCAAACAAAATCACTGGTTTTAAAATGATATAACAATATTTTTCCATTTAAAAACTTTTATTGGACCGCCCTAATGTTTCTACTAAACTTAATCTTGATTGACTAGCATTTGTTATTTTTTATTTAAACATTACCTTATGGGCTAAAATGTCTTGTCAGAGACCCCAAGGTTCAAGCATAACAGTTAGTATTTTAGAACTACTGACCAGAGGGGATACAATCAGTCGGCAGCACCCAATGCCCACACGGTTACTCTTAACAGAACACTTAAACTGACTGTTAAACTGACTTATAAAGCGATCACAGCTGAAATTACAAAGCGCGTTCAGTGGCATATTAGAAGCTCAAACCTTGCACCTTTCGATAATATGTAGTCCGTCTAATCACTAGATGGCGCCCGACCCATTGTTGACTTATCGTACTTGTTTAGTTGTTTGGAATTGTTATATCCTTCAGTAAAGTGATAATGGAAGAATGAATTGAAAATATTATACCGTCAGAGGTCCGATTACACTTTACTCCTCTGTAGTAAATGTGTCGTATTGTGTATGGTTTTTCTAAAATGATTTAACAGAGAACAGATAAAACATTTTCCCTTCTTTCTTAGATTGCACTAAATAGTTCTAATATTTTAGATTGCCAACAGTGTACATTTTAATATCACATAATTGTTTAATGATTATTAAAAGTTTTAACACCATTAAAATTGTTTAAAATATACAATAGATAAAATCAACTTACAAATTGAATGTTTTACCTTTTCTAGTTTATCATCCTCCAGCGCTGCTGTTCCTAGTACAGACAGTTTCTTAAATTGTCGTTTCAAAAATTCATCTTTGAAACCTTCCCACTTAAAAAGGATGGTGTCCTTCCATGCTGTTTTCTGAAACTTGTAATACTTCTGGGATTCCTCAATCTTTTAGAGAAAGCATTAAGTTATCTCAAGATGAAAATATTTTATTTTATGCTTAACAATCTGGTAAAATGTAATTTAATATTCATATAAATAATTAAATAATATTACTGTAGAATGCTTCCAAGTTGAAATAATGTTAGAATTCCTTTTATTTATTTTTTACCGCAAAAATGTCATAATATATACACCTCTGACACCTGTAAATGCATATCGTGGCCTCACTTACCAATTCTTATGGTATCACTCATGAAGATCAAGCGTATTATTGTATTAGAATAATAGCCACTATCAACCTGACTGAGGTTTTCTTTTTCTAATTTACTTATTCATAAAACAGTTTAAATTTTAAAGTAAATACATCATCTATGTGTATGTTGTTTTATACATGGGTCTAGATATGCTAAAACGAGTTCTCTGGTGCTCATTTGTTAAGTTGTCTGTGTTCAGTGAAAGTTAAAATGTAAATAGAAAGTAGATGTTAATATTGAAGGGTAATGCCGAAAAGATGTTATAATAACATTTATTTCTTAATGTCTTAATGACAATAATTAGCTTAAACGATTAAAAATTGGAAAATTATCCTGATTTACGAGGATATTTCACTATTGTGAATACGATGATGATGACCTCTGTTAGGTCTAAAAGTACTGATCTCTTCACTTAGTTCTACACCATTTATTATGCAAACCCAATTATATTCATTTAATAGTATAATACTAACAACACTTATAGTTAGATTATCTGTATACCTCTCTCTTTTTTTAACCAGTATCCCTATTTTCATGATAGTCAAAGTCTTAAAAGAAATTTATGACCTACCTAATTAGGAAGTCACACACATACCTGAGAAGAGCGAACCATCATAATATTTGAAAGTTTCTTAATTATTACAGAATTTTAATTGCTAAACAGTAAGATATAACACTGTATTTTAACAAAATTATTTCATTTACAATTTTAGCTAAAGACCAGGATAACGGACGCCATCGCCAGCGTAATTGTAGACATGTTGCAGCGAACGTAGACTGAAATCGAATATCGGTTAGACGTTCTGAAAGCCACTAATGGTGCACTCGTAGAAGTAGTGTTATGTTAATAAAAACTGTTTGAGTTGGGCTACAAGAGGCTGAAAACTGCAAAGTTGTATTTCCTTAGTTAGTTATTAAACTTTACAGATAGGAAAGATAACTTTTGCCCACCCCGTATATACTGGGTAGTACATGTAAAATGCATTGCACGATGTTGTAACATATATATATACATATAAAACAGTAAATTTTAAATGAGAAACAAATTTAATCAACTCAATGGCTTTTCTTAATGCGCTTTATAACTTTCGTAACAAGAGGAATTCGATTTATTTGTTGAGCCACTTACCATTTTTTGTAGGTTATAATTTGTGATATTCGTGATGTAATTCCACTCGGCAATTACTGTTGCTTCTAAGCCTTGGGACATATGTTTGTTTAAATCTTTCATGTAGATTCTTGCAAGTTCTTCATTTTCATACGGAAGGTTGTGCTGAGCCCGACTCTCAACACACACAAACAGCCCCACTGTGGTGGTAACACACAATAAAACAAGCGACCATTCAATTCGGTCCATTTTGGTTTTCTGATACAAGACAGAGGCTAAACGTTAGATTATATCTTTTACTGAGACAATCTTACACATTTAAATGTGATAACGTGTTAGACTTCCACGAGAAAATAACATAAGGCTCAACCAGAAAAAAATAAAGTAAAAATTGACGTCACCTGTTGCTAGCCCAAATCAAGAGAAACAATACAACAAAGGAAGGGTTAATAACGTTTCTGTGTCTTAAATCAATCTAGTAAATAATATCAATGCAAAACCATTGATAAGATTTGCACATTTGGTACTTACTCACTACATCACGAGCTTAACGTGATATGAGTTTCTAGTGTATTCTGCTGTAACATATATATATATACATATTCTTTATGATCATTTCTGAAGTCGAATTATATTACATTTTAATACATTAGTTTTAAGTCTCATACTATAACTTTGCTGTTAACGTAACTTTATGATCAAAATATGCTAAATGTAATTATAGAACTCGAATCATGTTTGTTGATAGCATATTTTAAAGTAAACCAAATTTTTAATGTAGTCATAGATTTTTACTGACGTTATTGCCCACCATATATCATGAATTGTGTTTAAAATTTCTGAATTACTACACATCTTGAAAGGTTGAATTATTACACATCTTAAAAGGTTATTTAATTTTACTTCATAGGGATATTTTAACAGTATTTTTATATATAACATTTATAAATACACAGTTTTAAGCATAGGTATATACTCTAGAATAAATTACATATTTCTCATCGCATCTGATGTAAGTTGCTACTGGATATATATATATATATAAGTATAAAAGTAACGTTTAAGGAGGATATTTTTTATTTTTAATCATTCATTTCATTGAATGTCGATATCAAACCATGTTAAAACTAGGACTTAATGCAAAGTAACTGTATTTAAAAGTAAAGAAGTATATTAGATATAAGTGTGAATAAATATGAAAATAAACAAAAACATCTGAAGTATATTGGCGTCAAACTTGAACGAAAAGAGACTTTATGTGCAGAATAAAGATATGTTAGCAGTTTTAATATGAATTCCCTTCCGCGCCCCTTCTCTAGACTCTCTCATAACCAGACATAGTTTTGGCGTAGGACCTTTTATTAAGGTAACACACATGAGTAAATCTACCTAACACAAAAGATAAAAATATATGGAGTGTAAAAGAACAACAAAGAAAAAAATGTCAGTTGGAACTTCCAGTTTCTTCGAACACAGTGTATTGATTCTCTTGGAATTTGTTAAATGGTTTATCATAAAAATATATTTAGGTTTTAAAGACTTGCAAGTGATATTTATGGAAACTACCCAGTTTAAAATGTTTGGAAACAAACATACACACCAGAATTTCTGTTAATGTTCTGTTTGTAATTCTTAAAAGCAGTAAAATGTAAAATATACAAATGTTATCACGTTTTTTTTAGCATTGTGGCGAGTTTTTATCTTAATTTGAGGTCAAAGTAATGAATTCTTCCATTGTTATATAGTTTATTCCACGTAAGTTTAATAAAAAATTGTATAACAATTATGTATTGGCTTAAATTTCCATGTAAGAAACTACAAGATTCCCATTCGTACATCGTAACGAATGACGTCAAATCTAATTCTTTAAGCTGAGCCATCTGTTGGGTTCCCATGGAATTATAACAGGTTATCAAGTTTCAATGTATTCGATTGTCTCAGTACAAGATATAAACAGCTGTTTAGCCTAATTCTCATTAGTAGAAAACTAGAATGGATCGAATTAAACTGTCGCTTGTTTTATTGTGTGTTACCACCATAGTGGGGCTGTTTGTGTGTGTTGAGAGCCGGCCTCAGCACAACCTTCCGTATGAAAATGAAGAACTTGCAAGAATTTACATGAAAGATTTAGATAAAAAGTTTTCCCAAGCCTTGGAAGAGACAGTAAATGCTCAATGGATTTACAACACTAATATTACTGACTATAACCTCGAAAAAATGGTATGTGGGGGTTAGAAATAATTGTATGTAAAATTACTTAAGAAAGACGATTGAATCTGGTACCACACGTTTTAATTGTGTCGTTTGTTTCACAAAACGATGTTTGACTACATGTTGGTGCATACGCATCGCCAATGTTCTTTTTTTTTACGGTATAAAATAGATTAAAGGAATTCAAATACTTCAGGTTGTAATATTATCCATGTGTATATTAAGATACACTTTTATCAAATTGTTAATAAACATAACCGAAATATGTTCATCTTGGAATAACTTAATGTCTTCTCTACAGGTTGAAGAGTCCCAGAAGTATTACAAGTTTCAGAAAACAGCATGGAAGGACACCATCCTTTTTAAGTGGGAAGGTTTCAAAGATGAATTTTTGAAACGACAATTTAAGAAACTGTCTGTACTAGGAACAGCAGCGCTGGAAGATGATAAACTAGAAAAGGTAATAATTTAATTTCTATAAACTCATTTTTTATTACACATATAAGACAGTTTCTACAGACAGAGCTTATATTGGTTGCTCCAATCTGGTCAATAGGACTTACACTATCCATTGTCTAAAAAAGAGCCCGGCATGGCCAGGTGGTTAGGGCGCTCGACTCACAATCTGAGGATTGCGGGTTCGAATCCCCCTCACACCAAACATGTTCGCCCTTTCAGCCGTGAGGGCGTTATAATGTGACGGTCAATCCCATTATTCGTTGGT